ATCATTCCATAGCCATCAGTTAGATTGTCTATAGGAGGAATTTGTCAATAATCAGTGAGTGTGAGGTAGGACATCAGGGCTGGGGTCTCTACAATGCCTGCTGAGGAAGATAGGCCGCCTCATACTCAAAGTAGCTTGGTTTGGGTCTGAACTGGTATATGAAGAAGTTGGGCTAGCAGCAAGAATCCAACCTTTGAGAGCAGGAGAGATGCTTGATTATGACCCCAGTCAGTAATAGAAGGACAAAGGTTCAAATGCTGTCAGGTTTAGGGATAGAGCCAGTTAGGGTACAGTGTGAGTCCAGGAAGAGTCCCTGGCTGGTGCCAATTGCCACAGAGCTCAGCCCTGTGAGCTGCTTCTGAAAAGTCAACCATTGAAAACCCTATGGAGCCCAGTTCTACTCTGACACGTCCTGAGCTAAAATTGACTCAGAGGCAACTGGTTCAAGTGATGAGACTAGGAGGATGGTTGTTGCTGTGAAGTGCCATCGAGTCAGTTCCAACTCTTAGCAACCCTGTATAGGGGTTCTGAGGAGCATCTGGTGGGTTTGAACCACTGACCTTGTGGTTTGCAATCCAGTGCTGAGCTAGAATTGACTCATTGGCAACTGGTTGAAGTGGTGAGACTAGGAGGAGATACAGGGAAAAGCCAAAGACAAAAGAATGGGGTGGGGGGGAATTTGACAGTAGAATTAATTGCGTGTCTCACTTGCTGGGCCCTGAGATTCTGAGCAAATCCATATCCTCCTAGGATTGGCTGGGGACCTAGCTAGGTCACTGAGGACATTGGTGACTTCAGCCGGGTGGGGTGAAGGAAAAGCCGGGGCTGACAGTTTTATACTTTCCATCCTTAGAGCTGCTCTGCTCTTCCAGAATTAAGAGATTCCTGGTTGATGGCTCCAGCTAAGAGCTTTTTCCCTTTCATTATATTCTAACCCATATGCAAGAGAAGGGGGCCATTTAAACTCTATTTGGCCAACTAGATTCTTTCTGACTCTGGTTGCGTGTGTGGCTAATGGAAAGGGCCTGTGTTTTCTAAGGAGCTTGACCACAGGGAGGTTTGGAAACTCACATAAACACCAAGGAATGTATTTCAGAAAACAAATCAGAATGCAATACAGAGTTCTTACTTCTTTCCTACTCTTTGCTTATTAAACCCTTAGAAGTGATTGAACAGTAATATGAGGACACATGCCAGGTTGCTTGCAAAGTCTCTCACTGGAAGTTGACAGTGAATGCAATGTTGGAACAATCTTTTGACTTCTTACCATGTTCCAAAAAATAAAGAAAGAAAGAAAGAAAGAAGAAACACTTGGAGATGATTCCAGCAGTTATTGTCTTCTGGGACTAGTAGGGAGGACCTGGGCTTTGTCTCCCCCTGGTCTAGTGAACCATTCTCCAAAGCCATGTCAAAGTCACAGAAGATGTGTGACAGAGCGTTGGCTCTGAGTTTGAGTAGATGCAGGTGTATTGGGAGATGGTAGTGGCTCAGTGGTGGAATTGTCTCCATTCATGTAGGAGGCTCAGGTTCAATTCCCAACCAGTGTACCCCATCCTCAAGATACATTGTCAGTGTCTGTCCATCATGGAGGCTTGTGTGTTCTTATCATGATGAAGAGGTTTCAGGGGAGCTTCCAGATTTCAATTAACTAGGAAGAAAGAGCTAGAGCTCTACTTAAAAAAGTTACCCAGTGAAAACCATATGGATCACAGTAGTCTAATCCATTGCTGATGATGGGAGGGGGCAGGACTGGCATCATTTTAATCTGATATGCACTGGGTCTCCATGATTTGGGGGCTGACTCGTAGCTAACAATGACAATAGGTTATTGAGTGGATCTTCCAGCAGAGAACTCTGGGAATGCCTTTAAGCGGAATTCCTATGAGGCTACTTAAATTCCCGATTTTGCTGAGATTGTTACTTGTGGTACAGAGGCACAAAATGCTAAGAGTGGCCTGGGCCCACCACACTACCCTAATGTCAAGTTGGCCAGTAGAAGTCTTCAGGACCTAGAATTGCATTTGAGATTGACTGGACCCAAATATCAGGGCCCTTGTACATCCACTGATATCTAGAACATGGGCACCACCTCTGTGAGTATAGTTTGTCCAATGTACTTTGTGAATATATTGTTAAGTACCATCAAGTCAGTCCCAATTCGTAGCGACCTTGTATTGGGTTTCTGAAGAGCAGTCCAATGTTTATCCTACGACACCACACCAGAATTCTTGTGAGTATTGCTGTTGTTTGGTGCCATCGAGTCGGTTCCAATTCATAGCGACCCTGTGTAGGGTTTCTGAGAACAAGCTGGTGGGTTTGAACTGCCCACCTTGTGGTTCGTAGTCTAGTGTTGATCCTACAACACCACACCAGTAGTTTCATGTTAAAAGCAGTTCTGGGGGAAAATCCACAACAGAGTTCAGTACTATTATATTTGGTTTCTGTTGTTAAGTGCTGTACTGACTCATTGTGATCCTGTATAGGGTTTCCCAGGAGCAGCTGGTAGGTTTGAACCACCAACCTTGCAGTTACCAGTCCAGTGTTTATCCTGCAACACCACACTATGACTCGATATTTGGTCTTAGAAGGAGTTTCTATTTCTATCTTAGAACTTTGATGACAATGACTAGGTGAGCCTCACTACCTAAAAATAACTTAGGACGCCATAGGTAGGAAGGTCGTTCACTTTAAACAGGAATCCCGAGTGGTACAAACAGTTCATTGTTTGACTAACAGCCAAAAGGCTGGTGGTCTTAACCCACTCAGAGGCACCTCGGAAAACAGGCCTGCTGATCTGCTTGAACCCTAAATCAGCTACAGCCTTGTGGGGTTGCCTTGTATTACAATCCACTTGGTAAAAACTAACAACTTTAAACAGACTAGCTTACTAGATGAGATGAGGTATTTTCCCCATTTTAGAATGAAGAGAAACTGAAACTGGGTCCATTGTCTTGTCATGTCTCTCAACCAATACCCTCCGTCTCCTGACTGTGACCAGGAGTACACGTAGGTCGTCAGAGTTGAAAAGACAAGACCAATTTAGTGCCCAGGATATTTGGAGGGTATGTTAACTTTTGGCACTGTAGAATAAGCATTGGACTGTGAACCACACGGTCAGTAGTTCAAACCCACCAGCCGCTCCTCAGAAATCCTTCACAATGTCTTTATGAGTTGGAACCGACTGGACGGCACTTAACAACAACATGCTAACCTTACAGGAGCCCTGATGGTGCAGTAGTTAAGTTCTGACCTACTAACTGACAGGTTGGTGGTTCAAGCCTACCAGCTACTCCACAGGAGAATGATGAGGCAGTCAGCTTCCATAAAGATTTACCACCTTGGAAACTCAATTGTTGTTGTTAAGTGCTGTCGAGTCAGTTCTGACTTATAGTTACCCTGAATAGGGCTTCCAAGGGGCGACTGGTGGGTTTAAACCACTAACCTTGTAGTTAGCAGTCCAGTACATATCCTACAGTGCACACCAGGACTGCTGGACACCCTCTGCAGCAGTTCTGTTGGTGAGAGTTGAAACCTTCAGTGTTCAAGGAAGCAGCTTGTGTATATCTCAAGTATGATTCAAAGGTGGGATATTTGAGTCAAGGCTCATATAATTGGGTAAAGCCTGATCATTTATAAATAGGAAGCAACAAACTCCTACAGTGGCAGGGCAAGTATCAGCAGGGATAAGCTAGTAGAAGCAAACTTGTAAATTATTGTGCCTCTAGTTTTATCTTAGAGGTCTCATTTTCTTTTCTTCTCGAAGAAAACTTGGCATCTGTGAAACTCAGCACCTGCTCATTAGCAAGAAAGTTTCTCGATGGATCTAGACTTTTCTTAACACCCATGGGTATTTTGTAGATCATTCCCCTATATCAAGCATTGACCTATCAGATAAATATCAGTATTGTTTAAGTTTTGCATGTTAGTCAGACAAAGGGATAATAAAAATGAAATTATTAAAGACGTGACAGAGTGAATTATCATGTCAGAAGCGGAGTCCCAGTCTTTCTCAAAAAGCACCTCGGAGAGGGTTTGAACTGCCAAGCTTTTAGGTATTAGCCAAGTGCTTAACCATTTGCACCACCCAAAGGATCCTTTGAGGCATCTGTTGTTGTTGTTGTTGTTGTTGTTGTTAAGTGCCATCGAGTCGGGTCCGACCCATAGCGACCCTGTACAGGGTTTCCGAGGGTGTAAATCTTTACGGGAGTAGAAAGCCTCATCTTTCTCCCGCGGAGCGGCTGGTAGTTTCGAACCGCTGACCTTAAGGTTCGCAGCCCGATTCGTAACCACTACGCTACCAGAGCTCCTTTGAGGCATCTAGTTTATGTTAATTTCATTAAGTCAGTTGGAATCATTTTTCTTCCTGGTGTGGCGCTGTGGCCTAATGTATCAGACTGCAAAGTTGTTTGAGCTGCAAGGTTGGTGGTTCAAGCTCACCAGCTGCTCCTTGGAAACCCTGTACAGGTTCGCTATAGGTCGGAATTGACTCAATGGCACTAACAACAATAACAACGAATATCAGGGGAATAAGGAACTCTGGTAATGTAGTTTCAAATGCAGTTTGAAACTACCAGTCATTCCACAGGAGAAAGATACAGGAGAAAGATGAGGCTTTCTACTTCTGTAAAGATTTATAGCCTCAGAAACCCTATACAGCTTAGAGTTGGAACCGATTCCATGGCACACAACCACCACCACCAATAAGGGGAATAATATAACTAACACAAAAAGATTTGGAATTAATCTGTGAATCTACTTGTGTGCAGTATGGGGTAGAAAGAGAAGTGAAGTGGAGGTATCTCTTTAACAAAATTGTTAAGAACTCTAATGAAACAATCTAAACACTGTTTCAAATACTTTCCCTAATTAAACAAGTTTCAGATAATGCATCCAGGCAATAGATCTCCCACAATGTAAAATAATAGGCTCTAAAGAGAAATAATATAAGGTAAAGACTAATGGGCAACTGAGTTAAACTACATCTGCTTTTGTTTTCCCAGATCAGGAAGTGTCTTGCACCATTGGAATGAAATCTATTACTTTGTGGAACAGTTGGCCCATAAATTCATCAGGTAAGAGACACAATTTACTTGTTTTGCTTTTAGTTATCTGCATGAGTAAAACCAGACCATGTTGGCTCTTCTGCTAATTACTAATTACTTGGAGAATTTTTGTTTGTTTATTTGTTTTGACAAAGGTGGATCCAAGACTACTCTCATCTGTACCACATATTAGAGTAACTTGACTCTGTGTTTTTAGGAGGAGCCAGGTTTGGTTATTAAGCCAACATTGTAACTTTCTTCCTCTGGTTGAAGAATATAGTCTTACAAAAGGTCATTCTCATGTTTCTCTCACAGTAGGGTGAATGGCACATTCTAGCTGGACTGCATGCAGGCTGATCCACTAGTTCCAGTTTGCTCAGGACGTTATTGGTATTAGCACAGAAAGCCACATGTCCTGGGAGATTTTTCAGCTCAAAGGAAGCCACGATCTTTGTTTATCATGGTGCCAGTTCTAGCCCTGAAATACTCGCATCCTGGGTAAGCCAGGACAGTTGGGTAAACCAGGAAAGTTGGTCACTTTGACTATGCATCATACCTGGTAGAATGGTGGTGGTGGTGGTAATGTACCGTGGAGTCCGTTCTGACTCATAGTGACCCTGTACAGGGTTTCCGAGGCTGTAAATCTTTACGGAAGCAGAAAGCCTCATCGTTCTCCCACAGAACAGCTGGTAGTTTCAAACTGCTGACCTTGAGGTTAGCAGCCCAATTCATAACCACTACACTACCAGAGCTCCTTAGGTAAAATGGACACCCATTAGTTAATGAAAGGAAGTCGTTTCACCTTCCTGGTGTGAAACGTCCAAGAGATAACATAGCTGTGATAGCTTTCATGATGTACTTGAAGCAAACTGTCAAGGTCTTTAGTAAAATCGGTCTGATCATTGTAAATTCTAAAGAGTCTTCTGACCGGTATGAATAACCATGGACTTCTTTGAAGATGTTTTATCCCAGAATAAAGGTGGTCATCTGACCCTGGGTAGTGATAAATGGATTCCCTCCAAATTCAGTTACTGGTATCAACACATACCAGCTTGCCTGATTAGAGGGAAAGGGTTAGAGGGTGTTCTCTTTGCACTGTCAAAAATTCCTGTTGCAACCAGAAACACCTATATGAGATGACTGGAGAAAATGGTCCTGGTGTGGCGCTGTAGGATAAGCACTGGACCGCAAGGTTGGTGGTTCAAATTCACCAGCCACTCTTCAGAAACCCTATTATAGGAGTCCTGGTGTCGTGCTGTAGGATAAGCACTCGCCTGCAAGGTCGAGTTGAACAGCACGGTTGGCAATTCAAACTCACTAGATATTCCTTGGAAACTCTATACAGGGTCGCTATGAGTTGAAACCAACTTGACAGCACTTAACAACGGTATGAGTCAGAACTAACTCAGCGGCGCTTAACAACAACATGGAGAGAGGAGAGATAAAAGTGCAGAGACAGGAGAGGACCACATATGAGTGATACTAAAATATATATGTTGTTGTTGCTGCTAACTACCGTCAGATCGGTTCCAACCCATAGCGACACTGTGTAGGATTTCCAAGGAGCAGCTGGTGAGCTTGAACCATTGACCTTGCAGTTCAAGCCAACATTGCAGTCCAGCGCATTAACCCACAGTACCACACCAGGACTTAAGAGAATCATAGATGCTTAGAATTGAATAAAACAACTTCCCAACCTAAAAGGCATTTACTAATCCTCAACTTGAATTGCTCTTCTGAGAAACTGCTGCCTTTTGAGTCAAACGGTCTAACTGTTGGACAGTCCCAATTTTCCGAGAAGTCTTTAGTCTTTGAGCCAGAATATCTTTCCCTGTACTCTCATCCATTGGTGCTTTGGAGTGATGTAAAACAACTCTGCCTCCAGATGCTTAACAGTGTATGCCGTGTCTCCATTCACTCTTCTTGTCCTCCTTTACCCTTCATCTGGAATAGGGAAGTCTGTTGGAAGAGGCTTTGAAGTTAAGCAGTTGTGGGTTTGAATCCAAACTCCATTGTGCAACCATAGGCAATTTAGTTATCTTGGCTGAACGTGCATTTACATGTAAGGATTGTAAGAGAAAACATGTGTAAAACAAATAGTCCAGTGTCTGGCTTAGACTGGGCACTCAACACTTCTCTCTCCTAGTTCCTTCAGAAATTCCAGACTCTTCACTAGCTTAGAATCTAAGCAAGTGAGAGGTGAAGGGGAACTAAGAGACAACCTAGCCCAACCTCCTTGTTTTATCAATGAAGAACTATGGAAAAAGAGGTTGAAATGGATCAACCCAGAAGTTCCTCTGGTTCCTATTGGCTATGGGCCTCTTCAGAATCTAGCACCAACCAACACATGATCATCATGTAAGCTCCATGAGGCAGGTGCAGTATTAATTGCTGCTGCGGCTGAGTACCCATAACAGTGCCTCACACATAGCACATGATCAAGCAATATTTTTTAATAAAATAGTGATTATTCATTTGATTAAACAATCTAGGCATCTGGTACTACAGGGGGGAAAGAACATTTTGAAGGGCAGTGGGATCCTTGAAATATCAAGTCCTTTTCATTGGTCTTTATTATGACCTCTTCCCATTTATTAATTGAGATTCTAATTCCTCACCACTTTCTTCAAGCTTCCAACCTCACACCCATGACTATTCGCAAAGGACTCCCACCTTCTGGTTCACTAAGAATCTAGAGAGTAGCAGGAAAGAGTGAATACCTCAAGTTCATATCCAACTCCTGTGCCCTCCCACCCCCATTTTAGACCATCCTCTTCCATTTAGTCCCACTGTATCCCATTGACTCCAGTCTCCTCCAGGGATTTGTTTCTCCCTTAGATTTCCTCTATCTTTCTCCTGGCTCCTTCCCCACAGTCTGCAGACATAAACTATTATTTCTTCTTTTTATCATCCCCCAAAGAACTACCACTGTGACTCTCTTTGATTATATCTCTCTGTAGATACCACCCTGTTTCTTTACTGCTTTTTCACTCAAGTCCCTTTAAAGATTTAACATCTTCATAGCCTTTCTGCTGACTCATTTCTTAACTCACTGTCACCTGATCTGCATCCCCACCCTCCACATTCCCTGCATGGCATTCTGCTAGAGAAGTCCAATGAACACCCGGCAGTCTTTATTCTGCTGCGTAGAGTGACTTCTTTGGATTCTGACTGGTTTCTTCTTGAAATTCTCTTCTTCACGGGCTCTTGTGATGTCTGACTCTTGGTTGGTTCTTCTTCCTTCTCACTGACCTTGTTGTTGTTGTTAAGTACCATGGAGTTGGTTCCGACTCATAGTGACCCTGCCCAGGGTTTCCGAGGCTATAAATCTTTATGGGAGCAGAATGCCTCATCTTTCTCCCACGGAACAGCCGGTAGTTTCGAACTGCCAACCTTGAGGTTTGCAGCCCGATTCATAACCACTACGCTACCAGAGCTCCTTAGTCAGTCCTTTAAATAAATGTGGGTGTTGGTTCTGTATTGGGATCATTTGCCTTCTCATTGTGGACACTTTCTCTGAACAGCTTTAGCTACATAAGTATGCTGATAAATCCCAAAGGCTGTCTCTGTCCCAGACTCATATGCCCACTTGCCTCATGGAGGTCTACATTTCCCACAGTTCAAATTTATTCTTTCCACAGCTAAACTCAACAAGACAATATAATATAGTGGGTTGTTGTTGTTGTTGTTAAGTGCCATTGAGTCGGTTCTGACCCATAGTGACCCTGTTTAGGGTTTCCGAGGAGCAGCTGGTGAGCTTGAACCGCCAACCTTGCAATTCAAACGGCTTTGCAGTCTGGTGCATTAACCCACAGCGCCACACCAGGACTCTATAATAAATATAAATATAGTGGGTTGTTGTTTTTGTTATGTGTTGTGGAGTCGGTTCTGACTCATAGCGACCCTGTACAGGGTTTCCAAGGTAAGGGCCCAAAATCCAGAATTAGAATGCTTGATTTCAAGCCCAGGTAGCCACTCTCTGACTATGTGACTTGGGGAAAATTACTTTAGCTTTCAGGATCTCCATCTTTTTCTGTGGAGAGTAGGAAATATAATAGTACCAACTTCCTAAAGTTGTTCCATTATTAATGAGCTAGCACATGTAAACCACTTAGGACAGTGTCTGGCGCATAGTAAGCACTCAGTAAGGCTGGCCCTAATTACATTATTCTCTTCATTATAATGATCATTATTACTATCATTATTACTATTCCCAGTACTGGGAAGGTAGAAGCAGGCAGTGTGGTATTGTGGAAAGAGAACTGAAATCAATTTAAAAAGAATAGAGCTCAATTCAACAATTATTACTTGAGCTTTTGAGCTCCCACCAAGTCTTAAACCCACTCATGGAAGCAGCAGTCAAGAAATCAGACAACGTATTTCATTGGGCAAATCTGTTACACAAGACTTCTTTAAAATGTTCAAGAACAAAGATGTCAGTTTGAGGACTAAGGTGTGCCTGACCCAAGCCGTGGTATTTTTCACAGCCTCATATGTATGTGAAAGTTAGACACTGAGTAAGGAAGACTGTAGAAGAACTGATGCATTGAGTTATGGTGTTGGAGGAGAGTATTAAAAGTACCATGGACTGTCAGAAGAACAAACAAATCTGTGTTAGAAGAAGTACAGTCAGAATGCTTCTTAGAAGCCAGGATGGTCAGAGTTCATCTCTCAAACTTAAGACATATTATCAGGAGGGACCAGTCTCTGGATAAAGATACCAAGTTTGCTAAAGTGGATGGCCAGAGAAAAAAGAGGAAGACTCACAGTAAGATGAATTGACACAGTGGCAGCAGCAATGGGCTCAAGCTTAACAATGATTGTGAGGTTGACACACCATCGGGCAGTGTTTCATTCTGTTGTGCATGGGGTTGCTATGAATTAGAACATATTTGATGGCACCTAACCACAACAAGAGTTTCCAAAGATAGTCAAACACATGACAGCGAATATGATTTAATTCTGGAGACAATAGGGGTTTATAGCAGAGAAGTGGCAAGATCTGGTTTATATTTTAGGAAAACAGTTCTGGCGGCAGTGTGAAGATTGAATTGCAGTAACGAATGACGATAAGCAGGGACACTAGCTAGGAAACTGTTGCAATGGACCGAAGATTGAGGACAAGGTCCTAAGCTAAGAGATGAAAAAATAACAAAGAGAAGCAGGTTTGAGAAAACGTTTAGGATGTGGGAATGATCATTTTGGGAGCAAGGTCAGTCATGAGGGTTGTTGCAATGTGAATAAATAGGCTGATGTCATCAGGATGAACCAACTGACCACCCAGAGAGAGCCCCACAAGGTGGCAGTCCACTGGTGAATCCTTCAGACTGGAAGAATGTTTGATCCGCAACTGAAAGTTGTGTGGACTTTATGTTGATAAAGCTCCTGTTGACTGGCATATAAAAACGAGGCTATTTGTTCAATAATTAGGATAAGCATAAATTCCAAGTAGAATAGGTAACCTTTTGGCTGATAAGCACATTCTCTCCTTTTAGGATAGCCTCCTTGGGAAATGAAAAGTTGGCATGATCCTGTTTTCTGAGTAAAGGGAGTTCATTGTATGATTTTCATGGCTGATGACATCACACTGCTACTGCCCCAGGCATTCTGTTCATCAAAGGATAGGATGCCTTTGGAAACACTGTCTCATTTTGTCTATCAGGATCTTCCTTTTTATAAATATCATACGTACCTTTCCCTTTCTAGAGGCACACTTCTTCAAATAGAGTACAGGGTAGTGATACAGTTAAGTTTTCTTACTTATAATCAACATTTATTAGCCAATGATGTCAAATCAGAAGCAGACTCCAGGAAGATAAAGCCAATTTTCTCTTTGGTTCACAGCTTGAAATCTTTTGTTGGCTGAATATTTGAGACACTAATTTTGGAGTCCTCTGTTCCTTTGTGGGTCCCCAGCTCTGGCAACTAGAATATAAAGGGAAGGACAAGTTAAAAGACTTGAAGGGAATGCTATTCCATAATGTCACTGTCTACTCTAATGAAGTTCTTTTCCTTTCTAGCCCACAGCTAAGAATGTCCTTCATTGTCTTTTCTACTCAAGGAACAACCTTAATGAAGCTAACGGAAGACAGGTAAGGATGTTCCCACCCCTGTCCTTAAAAAGTCCATGATTTTCTGCATGTTTTTTTTTAAAAAATGAAAATATGCACAACAAATTCACTACAAAAAGTTTTAAACATACACACCAAAACATATACCCATTCAACGATTTTTGCACGTGCAGTCCAATAACAGTGGTTACATACCACATACTGGGTTACCATCCTCACTCTCTGTCCGTATCGTTTCCCAGCATTAACTTAGATTCTCTACCCATAAAGGTTCTCGTCTGGGCTTTAGAGTTACTGTTGTCAATGTGGTCACATATAGATAATGTTTTGAAGTGCTCAATGCTCAAGGCAAATATTCTTTATTAATCAAACGAATCTCTTGTTCCCTGTAAAGGTAACTGTGTGGTATAGTTTCTGCTCAAGGCTTAAAAGTTGTTTCCAGACAGTAGATTCATGGATTCCTCCAGTTTCAATATATACATTATAAGTCTGGTTTCCATTAGAATTTGAAATTCTGTTACACATTTTTCCTCCTTTTCATAAAGATCCATCTATTAGGTCCTTGATCAAAACATTCAGCAATGGTACTATCCCCCATCATGCCTCCTGGTCTTATGGCAAAAAAGCTAATGGAGGCAATTAGACCTGGAGTCCATTTCCTTCTCCCATTTTTGGGTCTCCCCTATCGTCTGCTTCTCCAGGTGAATAGAGGCCAATTGTTGTATGTTAGGTGGCTGCTTGAAAGACCCCAGGCGCTACTCACTGAAATTCATGAGTAGTTTTAAGATTTAGATCTCGGTGCCATCTTTGACCTGTCAGTCATTTTAATTGATTAAACTTAATTTAAATTTAATAAACTCAATTTAAGCCTCAGGACTCAGCGAATGTGCCTATTTACCACATGATAACTTTTGGTAGAAGTCCCTCATGTTGGTGGAATTTTATAAATAACTAAATTATGTCAAGGTAATTCTCACATTTGATTAGTAACTTGGAGAAAAATGTTAGCACACAAAATCATTGTGGGCTTGAGTTTCTTTTATTTAAATAAGTTTTATTATGTGAATTAAAATTTTAGACACATAAGCAAACTATGAGACAAATAAGAACTTGAAATATAATCCTGCATAATTACCAAGGAAGGAAATAGAAAAGGAAGATTTGTAGTACCTTTTATTGTGAAATAAAAGGACATTTGAATCAGGTGTGGAAAAATGTCCTTGACATAAAAGGATTAGTAAATTCTAGTTTAACAAAGGAGTCCTTGTGTGGCGCAGTAGGGTAAGCACTGGATCTCAAGGTCAGCAGTTCAAACTCCTTGGAAACCCTAAACAGAATCACTGTTAGTCAGAACTGAGTCAACAGCACTTAATAAAATAATAATAAAAGTTTAACAAAAATGTTATTCTGGCCTTCACCATATTTTAGTTTCAAATGAAAACTAGCAGTAGCAGAGACTGGTCATGTATTCATAATTGGAGATGACATTTTCCTGTGTTAATGACTCTTTCTGCGTGATGTTTAAGAGTGATATGGTCTGCATGAAGGAAGAACCGTGAGGGACCTCTGTGGTGGACTGATACATGGGCCATGTGAGCAAAAGGAAAGAGGCAGGGGCAAGTGCAGAGTAGGCAGGACAACTGCATTCTGTAATATTCCTTTGAATTAGCCACAAAGAGTAAGGCTTTCTGGATTTTGCACTAATTCATGGCAAATCTGAGTTAAGCTCCACTTATCTTCTCCATATCTTTGTTTCCCATTTGTAATAAAAATAGTACTCTGTGTCATATAAAATTTTAGTGCTATGGGTTAATGCGCTGGATTGCAAAGTTGGTTTGAACTGCAAGGTCTGCGCTTCAAGCTCACCAGCCACTCCTCGGAAACCGTATACACTTAACAACCACCACAACATTATTCCTTCAGCAGTATCTATTATCTGCATGTATCTGAGGTGGGATGCACAGAAACCATATTTTAAAAAGGAAAGTTCTTACTGCTTATTAACAGAGGAAGAAACTGAATTCATCTTTTCTTCCTTGAGATACCTGTGCACAAAGAACACAGAAAAAGGAGACTGGCTCCACATGCCTTCCACTCTACCTTGCTGCCTTTGTTAAACAGAGACTCATAAAATACAACAAACCTCTTTAACTATTCCTTTAATATTGGCCAAGCATTTTAAGAAACTTGGATATAAGTATTCTTTATAAGGAGTCCTGGTGTGGTGCTGTGGGCTAATGTGCCAGACTGCAAAGCCATTTGAACTGCAAGGTTGGCTGTTAAAGCTCACCAGGTGCTCCTTGGAAACCCTATAAGGGTCGTTAAGGGGTCAGAAATGGCTTGACAGCGCTTAACAACAACAATGTAAGACTTCTAATCTTGCTTTTTTTTTTTTTTTTTAAGATATGAGGCCATTCTTTATGCAGAAATGTCTTATTAAGAGATGGGGTAGACTCTTAGAAAAGCATCCCTTCTATCCACTCTTCTCAGCCTAGTGTTTCATGCCGACTCCTCTCACTCCGTGTCTAAGAGTTTGGGTAAGACAAGGAGTCCATTTATCACCTGTAGACATTTTGTATGCTACTTTTCACAGCCTCTGAACATGGGGGTGGACAGTCGAAGGTCAGAGATATATAAACACTGCCAGAACCCAAGCTTTCAGACCCAGTTTGGTTTATGCCAGTTGAAATTCACACTCTTCTGAATCTCACTTCAAATGTAATTTTTTGTGCCTTAACTTTACTACTTCTAGTTTCCAAAGAGATGGCAGCGTTTGAATCCCTACTGTTCTGGAAACAGCATTTAATAATAGCTGATTATGCATCAAACAACAGCCAGAAATGACTTGCAAAAAGCTGTATGGGTTTCCTTTTAGGTGAGGAATGCTTAGCCTAAGCAAAGTTCCGCTGGCAAAGTACATGAGTCACGGACACATCCCAGCCTTATCAAGTGGTCTCTCTCTTCAATGATTTCTCAAGAGAATGGCTCAAAGAATCAGGCATTAAGAGCTTTCAGGCTAGTACTATTTATGAAATACGTATATGAATTACAGTTCCTTAGTTGGATGCAGGATTAAAAAAAATATTTTGCTCCATATCTCATTTGATCTTCACAGTACAGTAAGACTTCAAGTTATAAGCCTCCAATTTATGAACAACTTCTATTTTCCCTTTGTTGTTGTTGTTAAGTGTCATCAAGTCAGTTCCAACTCATAGTAACCTGTTCTAAATCCAACTCATACCAAAGAACAGCTAGTAGCTTTGAACCGCTGACCTTGCCCTTAGCAGCCCAGTGCTTATCCTACAGAGCTATACCAGGACTTGCACTTCAATATTATGTAAATTTTCCTCGCTTTGAAAAAACTGACCAATCCCTACTGCGAACAAGTTCATCACAATCACCTTTACTTGCTGCGTGTGAATCTTTTAAATCATGGAAAAGGCAAAATAAGAACTGTATACACCTCTTCCAACTTACCTACAGATTGAACTTGAAGACACACTTAGGCCTGGGTCACATTCTTAACCTTGTATCCCTACTAGACAGTCAGAGAGGCATTATACCTGTGTAACACTTGAGAACACACAGAATGAAACTTGCTCATAGAGAACAAATGGGGCAATTGAGATTCCCATCTCAATAAGAGAATAAGATTTTGGGTAAATCAAAACAAATATAACAAAGGTGTATTTGCATCTAATTCTTACATCAAATACACGTAGGGGAAAATCACGGGGAGATTGAAGAAATAGAATAAATAGAATACAATAGGCATAGAATAAACACAATGTAGTCAACACATTACCAGATGTGGCATTCACTGTAGGATACACACTAGATTGAAAGTATGGTTTGAACTGCAAGGTTGACAGTTTAAACTCACCAGCCACTCCTCAAAATCCCTAGACAGGGTCGCATGTAGTCGAAATCCAACTCGATGGCACTTAACAACAACACCTTCTATTAATGTCTTCTCTGCTAAGCACTTACCATATCATTTCTTATTTATCATCACATAACCATTTTACTTCATTTTTGATGGGAGCTCTGTAAGCATTTGAATCATTATTTTACATGTCATGTGCATTTTTCTCTAACTGCTTTCAAGATTATTTCTTTAGTTCTCAGCAGTTTGAGACAGATTTATCTCTAGTTTTGTCATTATTTAGTTCTTTGCCGTTTGAGACAGTTTGGGCATGGTTTTCTTAGAATTAATCTTATTTTGACTTTACTAAGCTTCCAAATTCTATAAATTTATGTTTTCATTACATTGGATAGTCTGTAGCCACTATTTCCAGCCCGCCCCCCTTTGTTTATTTATTTAATGTTTTATTGTGAATTATGTGATAGTTTACATGGAAGAACATTAGTTTTACATTCATCCTATTGTATATCATTTCATTGCCATGGTTACAATCCCTTCCATGCATCATCAACCGACCAAAGGGTATACCTTGCAAGCCTCCTTCCCCCCGCCCCCAGTCACCAGACCCCTGTCCCTCTCCCTTTCTGGGTCTGCAGTCCCCAGCTGCACCATTTCTCCACGTCATTGTCTCTGCCTCTATCTCTGGCATCACTGCT